TTTCGTGATATGCTGGCCCGCTATCAACCTACCAGATTGTCTAAATCGTGATATGCTGGCCCGCTATCAACCTACCAGATTGTCTAAATCGTGATATGCTGGCCCGCTATCAACCTACCAGATTGTCTAAATCGTGATATGCTGGCCCGCTATCAACCTACCAGATTGTCTAAATATTCAAACTCTAGTTCTTACCTCTTTATGTAAAAATAATAATACTAATAATAAATGACCTGAATACTCTTTCCTCCTTATATTTAGTTCCTGCAAAATAGTTTTGAAGGTATTTATTGACCTAGATATCAGTTCTAGCCCTACAAAACTAAAGTACACATGATTAACAACCAAAGTACAGGATCGAAGCACGATTTATGATTGTTTTGTTTTGTTTTTTGTTTGTTTGTTTGTTTTTGTTTGTTGTTGTTTTTTCTTACATCTTAAAAGTTGATAGAAAATATAATTAGAAAAAACAACAACAAATGATTGATGTATATTTAGGTCATGACAGAATAATAAAACTGATTGATGTATATTTAGGTCATGACAGTATAATAAAACTAATTAATGAGTATGTAGGTCATGTGAGAATAATACAACTGATTGATGTCTATGTAGGTCATGTGAGAATGATACAACTGATTGATGTGTATTTAGGTCATGTCAGAATAATCTGGCTAAATTTGAAATGCTGTTGACATTAGGGGCTGGTTAGTTTGACCAACACTGACGGTTTTTTATTTAGTTTCACGCAGCAATTTTCCCCTGCCTTATCTGCTGGCATCAGCTTTAGGCTGGGGAGTGGGTGAGTGTAGGGGGGCTACAGACGTAGAAACATATTTTTCGATGGCTTTTTGAGATAGATGTAGTGTGACGTAAACTGTATAGAAAAATTGGCTCAGGTATTCCGGACTTAAACATTTTACCGCTGTATCTCTAGATTGTTCAAATCAGCATACTTAATCCAAGGCTTGGATTTGCAGCCAATAATACAAAACATTAATCCCACTTCCTCGGTGCACAGTGTCTTCTCGGTGCACAGTGTCTTCTCGGTGCACAGTTTATACTCAGTGCACAGTGTCTTCTCGGTGCACAGTGTCTTTTCGGAGCACAGCGTCTTCTCTGTGCACAGCATCTTTTCTGTGCACAGTGTCTTCTCGGTGCACTGTGTCTTCTCAGTGCACAGTGTCTTTTCGGTGCACAGTGTCTTTTCGTTGCACAGTGTATACTCAGTGCAGAGTGTCTTCTCGGTGCACAGTGTCTTCTCGGTGCACAGTGTCTTCTCGGTGAACGTGTCTTCTAAGTGCATTCAAGATTTCCAACGTAATCATTTCTTATCACATAGATCGGTTCCAGCCTAACATTGCCTTCACTAATGTTAAAACTGACTTGATTATACTATCCGTAATTTGGTTTTTAATTGGCTAAAAAGTTAGCTTTGTACTTTGGCATCATTTTTGTATATGTAATGCTCTTGAAGAGGTTTTTTATAAGAACTCGTGTCATTTCCTCCAACTAATTACAGGTACAGACGCGACACGTAGGTACACAAATCCCAGTTTCTTGAAAGATCATCTTGCTGACGCTGCTGCGCCTGTGAAGTAAGTTGTGTGTTTGACGTCAATGTTTGTACACCATGTTAGGAGACTTAGTGTAACCTCAAGTGAAGGACATGGTTTTTTTTCTCTTAGTATTCTATGTATCAAGGTCCCCACGATCAATTTATTGATCATTTTGGCTCCTATGCATGTAGATGGGATTTCAAATGTTTCTGTGCCTGGTGTTGATGAGGATATTTCACTGGTTGGGCTACTTTGTGAGGGTATCATGCACTGGGGGCTGGAAGACCTGAGGCAATAGACATCCAAAGTATATTGTGCAGAAATATCTCGTGTGCCTTTAAATCATTAATTTAACAAAGAAACCGTAATTTTAACGAAATTACATTACAAAACTCAAAGTTACCATTCCCCCCCCACCCACCCTTGTCAGTACTGACATCTTTTAACATCCATACAGTACCAGCCATATCATGTGGAATGTCGTTATTCTCTGGGTCGGCTGTGTGGTCAGCCTTTCGTACGGCCACATGTGCTTGGTGACGCCACCCCAGAGGGGGCCATCGAATGACATAAACGCCGTCGGTGAGTGTTTAACGCCGTGGCCTTAAATCAGGGTGTGATTTTTATAAAGCATTGTTATAGTGGACTATACCGTCGGGAGAGACAACCGGGGCGAGCGACGCACATGCGCAGGGCCTGTGAAGAGTGTGTGTGTGTCCAGTGTGTTACGGAGACGGGCATTGGAGTGAACTCATTTGATAACTTACTATATCTATATGTTATTGCTTTATTGTTTGAAATAAAAAACATATAAAAAGATAATAAACATCTTACCTCCTAGGTTCTAAATCCGGGATCTAATGGGTCACGTGTGTTGAATTTTAAGTGACTTGCGATATTAAAGCGCCATGTTCATTTTTTTTTCTTTCAAAAGCCTGTAGGTGAAATCCTCAATGCAAATATCGAAACAAACTTTTACTTGGTAGAGGTTTATAATACACTATCGCCTTAAAATTGTTCTTGCCTTCGTCTGAGATTTCGTCCTTTACCAACAGGCGCGAGTGATTGCTATCTTAAGACCGGACCGTGCGGGGGAAGAACTCAAAACTTGACCTCAGGGACAGCTCTTGTGTGAGTGGAAGCATTTCTTGTAGCTTTAGTTTGATTGGAACGGAGGATTTGGGAAATAAGCGATCATTTTTTAATCACTATCGTCATTAGATGCTTTTGGAGACTAACTCATTTTTGACATTACTTGATTGCTACATAGACCTTAAGGTAACTCATTTATGAAATTATTTGGTTGCTAGATAGACCTTAAAGTAACTCATTCAAACTGCACGGCTTTTAAATATTACTCAGGAAACTATCGATACCTCCGGGTGCATAATATCATAAATCACTTTGATGCCATTCATTTCAGAGCAGGCAAACAGTTTGTTGTGACTATTCAAAAGAATCTGGACCACTTTAACGCTGCAAGGCCAGTAAGTCTCAATTCAGTTCCGTCATTCGAGATGGCCTTTTTTCCTACTATATATCATCTTCATGTACAGCTAGACAATAACAGTTACTAATTGTCTGAAACTTCGAAACTAACCAATACAATTGTGCGTCTGTGTTCAAACCCATTTTAAGTTTTGGAACGGTCAAAATGGCGTCTTGAGAATTTGGGGAGTTTGTTTTGAACAGAAGAGGCAAAACGTGTGATTCTTAAACGGAATCCTCTTGTTAGAGAATAGATGATAATTTTATGAGGGAAGTATAAACAATAAATTAAATCAAAATGGTTTTGCGATTAAAGGGTTTCATTGTTAGACTGTCAGGGTTTCGTTGTTAGACTATCAGGGTTTCAATGTTAGACTGTTAGGGTTTCATTGTTACACTGTAAGGGTTTCATTGTAAGACTGTTAAGGTTTCATTGTTAGACTATTAGGGTTTCATTGTTAGACTGTAAGCGTTTCGGTGTTGGGCTGTCAGGGTTTCACTATTAGACTGTTAGGGTTTCATTGTTAGACTGTTAAGGTTTCTTTGTTAGACCATTAGGGTTTCATTGTTAGACTATTAGGGTTTCGTTGTTAGACTGTCATCGTTCGTTGTTATACTGTCAGGGTTTCATTGTTAGACTGTCATCGTTCGTTGTTATACTGTCAGGGTTTAGTTGTTAGACTGTCAAGCTTTCGTTGGTGGGCTGTCAGGGTTTTGCATCCGCATAACTTACCAACAAATTAACACATTCATTACCAACAATGACACATACAAGACATATATCAATCCTAGTAAACCCGTGCACATATCAACACATTCTGAAACAGATACCAATAAACGCATACATTTACCAACATAAAGCACAACTCTTCGTACAAACGTCCACAAACGAAAAGGGGAAAGAAAATCTATCTCATCTAAATAAATGTTACATCCTTTACACATTAAAAGGATAATTAGCTACAACTCCTCTGATTTGATAAAGAGTTACAACCATAAACATGGACTGGATGGGAGAATGTTGTGTGTGTGTTTACTCTTGCAGGGCTATTTCGCTGTTTCCATCGGTGCCGACGAGGCGTCGCTAAAAGAGATTCACAGAATCGCTGACACGGCTGAACCCTCATTGGCTCTCTACTCAGATGACGTCACAGTTCCCTAAACGTGAGTTGCCCCGTTTTAAAGATGACCTTGCCTCCCAAAGCAACAGATATTGTGTTGCACCACTGGCTCATTTCAGAGAGCCTTAGTTTGCCTGATAGAGACCGAACAAATCTACGTTCGAGTTTTAATTAAAACACACATTATAAATTTTAAAAAATTTTTTTTGGTGACGGGAGTGAAAAAATAAAAAAAACCCAAAGAAAACGTTTGAAGTAAGTTCAAAACCAACAAACTTTTGGTTACTCTCTCTCTCTCTCTCTCTCTCTCTCTCTCTCTCTCTCTCTCTCTCTCTCTCTCTCTCTCTCTCTCTCTCTCTCTCTCTCTCTCTCTCTCTCTCTCTCTCTCTCTCTCTCTCCCTTCATGCGTCGGTGGGCTTTGCTAATGTCGGTGGACTTTGTTATTGTCGGTGGACTTTGTTATTGCGGGTGGACTTTGTTATTGTGGGTGGCCTTTATTATTTTGGATGTATTTTGTTATTTTGGGTGGATTTTGTTATTGTGGGTGGCGTTATTTATACTGAGTGTGCTTTGTTAGTGTTGGTGGGCTTTTCCAGAGCACATTCCTCCAGCTTCCCAAGCACTCCAAATATCTGAAATACTTTAAACAGTTATTTTTTTGGAGAAATTTTAGTGATTTCTTTCCCCTATCTGATATGGCGAATGTCTCCTACATCTTTTCCTCGGGGTCATTTTGCCCGAATACAATAGAATTTTAATTATTAATTGATACAGATTTATTTTTTTAATTTTTTTGTTAGTTAACAACCACTGCATTAGAAAATGTACCGACGCTAATCAAACACTGATCATTTATATTAATCGTCTGAAAATGGGGAACACCCCATGAAAACAAAATACCTGCGCACTAACTCAGTGCGCACTAAATCCTTGCGCACTAAACACTGTTTTTAAATGTTCTTTCAGCGATGGAATTCATTTAAATGTGTCCTTAAGTCTGATGTTATGTTGCCCTGTGTCTATTCGTTTAATGTCACGTTTGGCTGTGTCCATTAGTCAGATGTCATATTGGTCTGTGTCCATTGGTCAGATGTCATGTTGGCCTGTGTCCATTAGTCGTCATGTTTGCTTGTGTTCATTAGTCAAATGTCCTGTTTGCCTGTGTCAATTGGTCAGATGGCATGTTGGCCTGTGTCCATTGGTCAGATGTCATGTTGGCCTGTGTCCTTTGGTCTGATGTCATGTTGGCCTGTGTCCATTGGTCTGATGTCATGTTGGCCTGTCTCCATTGGTTTGATGTCATGTTGGCCTGTATCCATTGGGCTGATGTCATGTTGGCCTGTGTGCTTAAGTCTTATGTCATGGTAGCAGTGTAACTGTCTTTATGTAAAAAAAAAAACTATGGACTGAATACAACTATTATTTTCTCTACCTGTTTGTACATTCCAGGACTGGCCAGATGGTACTACAGATCACGTATGTGACCAACAACAACCCTCCATTGTTCTTTCAATGCAGCGATGTTCTCATAGTGCCAGCACGAGACCTGATCCCTGTTGGTTAGCAACACTATTGGTGGAACAACAAATCACGTGACAGTGTCATCTGATATATTATGTCACAATGTCATCTGATATAGTATGTCACAATGTCATCTGATATAGTATGTGCCAATGTCGTCAGATGTATTATGTGCCAATGTTTACTGATCTATTATGTGCCAATGTCATTTGATATGTTATGTCACAATGTCGTCTGATATATTATGTCACAATGTCATCTGATATAGTATGTGCCAATGTCGTCAGATGTATTATGTGCCAATGTTTACTGATCTATTATGTGCCAATGTCATTTGATGTGTTATGTCACAATGTCGTCTGATACATTATCTGAACTTTTGAAACTATCTTGGTGGGATTAAATTACTTTGTATTCTTGACTGTATTCTTTGGTTCTCGTTTCATTTAGCGGCATCATGCAATTTCAGAAATGCCTTTAGAAGATTTCGCTAAAAGCCTACAAGGCACAAGTTGATTTAAAAGAGCACAACTTGATAAACCAATGAAAGATCTTCGTGCGTTGACACGACATAGCCAGATAACAGTAAGTGAGAAATGTCGTAATGACGTATTCAATAGAACCGGACCCGAGAATTTGATTAAATAGAGGAGAGTAAATTGACTAACTGTAAATCGGGGGCTCTTAATCAGGGGTGCCCTGGGGTGCGAGAACAGTTTCAGGTTTGATCGTGGAAAGGAAGGGGGGGGGGACATTTCAAGGCTTTCAGGGTGCAGTGTTCAGGGAGAGTGGGATGACTCATCAAATCAGGTTTAATTTTTTTTTTTTTTAAACGGTGGAGTAGATATTTTTTGTTTTAAATGTGTGTGTGTGGTTAGGGGTTTTGGGGGGCAAAGGGACATTACTAATACATTTGTTCTCAAGGGAGATAATAATAATTTCTTTTTTTTTAGGGGGGGGGACATTTCAAGGGTTTGAGGGTGCAGTGTTCAGGGAGAGTGGGGTGACTCATCAAATCAGGTTTAATTTTTTTTTTTTTTAAACGGTGGAGTAGATATTTTTTGTTTTAAATGTGTGTGTGTGGTTAGGCGTTTTGGGAGGCAAAGGGACATTACTAATACATTTGTTCTCAAGGGAGATAATAATAATTTCTCTTTTTTTTTTTTTTTTTTTGCGTATTTTTTTTACTGATGTAATTTAAAATGATATTTAAATTTTTTAAATGCATTTCCTTTGATACTTTGTTACTGTTTATTAAATGTGTTGCTAAAACGGGGTGAGAATTCAATCATACTAAAATTTTTTAAGAACATTATTACAAATACAAAGGCATATTATGTAGCATTAATAAAATTAAGAATTGACTATTCAATTATACAAATATATATAAATATATATTTATAAATAAATGAAGACCACAAGGGAAAAAACAACAAAAACGGCAGAGTCACATTTTTGTTGTTTTGAGATATTCCATTTTTAAACTTCAAAACCATGCACATTAAAAATGTGTAAACAAAATGTAATTTTTAAAATTCATTTCACAAGAGTGTCCATTTCCCTGAGTTATTAAATAGATAAAGTAATTCAAACTTGAATGTAACATGATTTATTTCATTATAGTAGAGAGTGAGGTCAAAATGGACTCTGCCGTTTTTTTCCTTGTAGTAATTTAACAAGGTTTGATCATTGATAAATATCTATTTAAAACTATTTTGTAAGTAAATTTTCACATTTAGGGGTCACTGGCAAATTACGTCACGCTTAGAGGGGGTGGGTTGAGAATATGCGACACTTTGTGACAGGGGGAAAGGGGGGGGGGGGTCAAAAATTTTGACGTAACTTTTTTTTTTCACTTTTAAAAGTTTTTATTTTTTTTTTTTTATTTTGTAAGTAAATTTTCACATTTAGGGGTCACTGGCAAATTACGTCACGCTTAGAGGGGGTGGGTTGAGAATATGCGACACTTTGTGACAGGGGGAAAGGGGGGGGGGTGTCAAAAATTGTGACGTCACTTTTTTTTTTCATCTCTAAAAGTTTCTAATTCTTTTTTTTTAAAAATCATAATTTAATTAATTTTTAAAACATTAATTTGAGGTCAACTTTGTCTCAGGTATTATAGTATGAAACTCGGTTTTCTAGTAATACTACATCTTATAATTACGGTAGTGGTTCTCAACCTTCCTAATGCCGCCACCCTTGAATGCAGTACCTCATGTTGTGGCGACCCTCAACCATAAAACTATTTTCGTTAGTACTTCATAACTGTAGAGGATATGCATTTGCCGATTGTCTTATGTGACAACTTTAAAAGAGTCATTCGACCCACAAAGGGGTCGCAACCCACAGGTTTAGAACTGCTGCATTATGGAAAAATGTTGAAGAATAAAATAATATCTTAGTTTAGTTATGAAAATTATATATATACATATATATGTGTATATACATAGACTAAAAATATCCCATTAAACAATGGCGACCAAAATAGGTGAAAAATCATGAATGTAATAACGCGCTTACAAGATACTCCCCCACCCCCCGATACGCTACCACCCCTGGCCTATATTAATATTCTGATGCCCTTACCCACCCACTTAAACCGAACATTTATTTCACAATACATCAATAGTTGTAACACACCAAACAATGACAGCGCACAATGCGAGAACTTTCTACTGACTACACCTGCTGGGCAAAATATACATTCAACTAACGTAGTTTTTAAGAAAAACAACTATTGGTTCTCCCCCACCCCCACTTTCCACACGTTAGCAACCTCACACATAAATTAATATTCTAAAGTGCCCCATACGTTCATATCGCAGATTGAAAACATCATGTTGAAATTGAGAATATTTCCTTAATACAAAGGGAAAAAAAAGAGTACACATTTGCGTTAATTTTAGGCTTTTTATTTGACGCAGTTATCGGGCAATTTTATTGAGACAAATCTGCTTCGTATAGCTACAATAATAATTCCTGACTGAATCTTGTCGTCTTGGCTCTCATTGCGCATCATGATGCGCTCTCATTTGCTGCTTTCCCACCCCCACCCCACCCCTTTTCCTTTGGCCTTCGCACTTACCGAATGCACACAACAGAAAGCATTCGTCACCTACTCTTCATTGGTAACTGACAGGCCATACATGAAAGAACGGCACTTGAAGGAACTGAGGAGAGAGATTGAAGAGTAACTGGTATTTACAGGCACCATCTGAAATTATGATTGTAGATTACGCACATCTTCCCGTGTTTAACACGCACGACCTGATGCGTCGTCCCAGTCAGTGTTTAAATAGTTCACAAATATTGAGCGTTCATTTGTTGTTGTTGTTGCATTGCGTTGTTAATTCTTACCCACCTTTAAGAAAGACTCGACCTGACCTCCCTCCACATCCTGCTTCCTATCAGACAGGCGACAACTCCCGTGTCTTGTTGACCTGACCAGTGATGACATAAGCAGTGGCGTAGCTATAGGGTTGGTGTCACCTGTTACGGTAAACTCAATGTGTCAACAGTTGCGGTCCGCATTTCCCGCCACCCTCCAGCTCCGCCACCCCCAGCTCCACCACCCTCCCAGCTCCGCCACTGTACATAAGGGAGACACACAAGGACCAGATAAAGATATTTTAACTTCCTTTAATTCTCTTTTTTTGTTTTCAACAGAGTAAAAAAAAAAATAAAAAAAAAATAAATATTGACTAGGGGTCTCGCCTAAAACCAGGGTCACCACGTGCTGATTGCGGTTTCACTTAAGCTTTAACCTGAATTGTGTCTCAAGTGACAAACTTGTCTTTCTCAATCAAGTGACGCCTGGTGCTGTGCAGTAGCTTCCCTTGTTAGAGGTGTTGTACACGACGTAAACGACAGAACTGTCTCTTTCGAATGCTGCATATCTCGTCTATACAGTTTGCTTCTGGTGTGTCTTGCTTCCTCTTCTAAACTTATCCCTCCCCATCTCCACATGTTTTATATTAATATAATTGAGGGGGGGGGGTGAGAAAGGCTGTCATGCGTGATGGGTGAACTCGGGTAATTTTTTTTTTCTCCAGCGGGAAGCGACTATTATATTAACCAATAAGGAGTATTTATTTGCAACTATTTATTGGTAGCCCTTAAGTCTAACGCCTTATTTGTAACTGTTTATAGGTAAACCTAAATTCTAAAGCCTTATTTGTAACCGTTCATTCTAACGCTTAGTTGTAACCGTTTATTAGTAACCATTTATTTTAATATATATATATATATATATATATATATATATATATATATAAGAATGAGCTATACTGACGTAACTCCAAAGAACCGATAAGATTTAAGATTTAAGTACGTTCGGATTCATAAAAACAATCATAAATATTTTCTTTATATATATATTTATATATATATATATATATATATATATATATATATATATATATAAGAATGAGCTATACTGACGTAACTCCAAAGAACCGATAAGATTTAAGATTTAAGTACGTTCGGATTCCTAAAAACAATCATAGTTATTTTCTTTATTTTACGCAAATCGAATAAATTTAAAGGCGCAAAAAATATTCTAAATCTGCTTTTATTTTAGTAAAAGTTTAAGTGTTATTATAAATTACAAATACATTTAAAGTATCAACTAAGGAACTATTGTAAGCATTTTATAATGTTTAAAAGTTTTTAAAAAATAAAAAAATAAAAAATCATGATCAAAGAATTACACCGTAATCACATTTATCGGGAAAACCCAAACATTAGTGGTTTTTAGTGCGTCTTTTAGTGCGTAGTTAATATTGCGAAATAAAATTAAAATTAATTTGTTCTAAATAATCACGCAATGACGTCATAGCGCGAATAGCCTATTTCGCCAAAACTCTTAGGTTTTTTTAAATTTAATAACCACGCGGGAAAAAAAACTGATAATATTTTCCCTTCTTAAAGTAAAATTAGCAATAAATACAATTGATTGATTTTTAAATTGTTAATAAAACACACACATATTAGCTTTGTTATTTTTAACATTTAAAAAGTTTTTTTTCGTTTTTTTAATTCCAAAAATATACTTTTATTGACTTTATAACGTAACAAAAACTAAGCTTTAAATATAATTCTAATAAGAAAAGTCGGTTTAAGTCCATCAGTGCAGCGCAACTCCATATCCAAATAGCATTCACTAATCCACTTATAACTCATCTAATTAAGAACAACCATAGGAAGTGCAAAATATGTTAGTTTGGGTATGGAAGGGATTACAATCCGGTGGAAGATTGTATTAATTTTAATTTAAAAATCTTGAGGGGGGGGGGGTGTGACTATT